TTCCAACCGCCGATCTTGGGATTCGCAGCCCAACCGGGAACCCGCTACACCCCCAGGCTCCTCTGAATGGCACCAAACAACAGACCTGCTGCTGCGGCAAGAGAACTCGCTTTACATAGAAGGCAGCGGACAAACGGAAGGAAACAGAAAGAGGCCACTGTGAGGGAGGGGGAGTCTACATTAATGCCGGAGAAAATAGATTTTTATTGGGGGCTGATACAACTCTTATCCATCCATTGTGTCAAGCACATTTGTACACTTGTTGCTATTATCATTTTCAAAACATTTTCTTTCTACTTGAGCCCTTGGTATCAGCTCATTTTTTCCTCCCTCCCTCATGAACCCTTGATTATTTATAAATTATTATTTTTTCATGTCTGACACTGACCGATGTCTCCCCTCACTCACTTTTCTGTTGCCCATCCCCCTGGGGGGGGCTATATGTAGATCATTGTGATCAGTCCCCCCCCCCTTTCCCTTTCCCCTCCTGGTATCGCTACTCTCAATACTGGTCCTGAGGGGGATGGATCTTACAGTGCATTTGGAAGGCTTCCTGGTTAGTGTGTCAATGCAACAGCGGGCAGTGCCTGATGGCACGAGCTCCGGACACCTGAACAAAAGTGGACAGCACTGAGTTGAAAGGAGAAACAGAGAAAGCTGCCACCAGAGCCGGAGATTTACACACCCACCCGTAAACAGTGAAATAAAAGAGCTCGGCAGAAAAGCGTCAAAGACATCCAGGAGCTGAACGACAGTCAAACCCCAGAGCCTGGCAGGCCAGTGAGCCCAAGGTCAGCAGGTCAGACCCGCCAGCCCCTCCACCACAGGAGAAAGCTGAGGTTAGCTGCTCCCATCAAAACCAACAGGCTTCCCACTGATCAATGCATCACACGCCCCTGCCGAGAGGGACCAACAAAGAAATGCGGGTGAACAGAGACAGCAGATGGTGTAAGACATGAAAATGATAACAATTTATAATTTATCAAAGGGTCATGCGGGTGGGAAAGGGAGGGAGGGGAAGAAAGAGGAGCTGATTCCAAGGGCTGAAGTAGAAAGAAAATGTTTTGAAAATGACGATGGCAACGTATGTACAAATGTGCTTGATGCAGTTGATGGATGGGTTGCGGTAAGAGCCCCCAATAAAACGATTTATTAAAAGACAAACGGATATCCTTATGGATGGCAGTGCAAGCCCAAGATCCATGTAAGGGTCCCCACGTGGATGAAGCCGCCAGTGAATCCCCTCTGGTCAGTGACCAGGGGTGTGAGCAGCCTTGTCCTCAGGGTGCATGGGAAAGTGGGCTAGCACAGAAATGGTTAGCTTAAATTTAACATCTTCTTATCGTTTGTTCTCCCTTTTGACCCATTTTAAATCTGTTCTAGTGTTTGAAGACCAGACAAACTCACTGCCGTTTGCTCCAAGAGACAGAGAAGACAGAGAAGCTCAGTGCCGTCGATCAGAACAAGGCCAGGGGCCGACCTTGGAGCAGACCGCCAGCCGCTCAGATGCAAGTTCAAGGTGAAGGTGCGGAAAATTAAAACCAGAGTCCGCAAGGGCCAGAGCACAACTTTTAAGCACATTCCACCTGAAGTCTCAAGAATAGATTTGATGTACTAAACACGAATGACCGAAGACCAGCCAAGTAAAAGACCTTGTCCATGAAGGAGGCAAACGGTCATTAAAAAGACCAGAACGGGCGCCAGAAGAGACTGTGAGGTTTGATCTTGAACACGGAGCCGTCAAAGTGAGAGGAGATGATTCGGTTAAAGAGCTAAACAGATTTCAGAGGGCAGTCTTTTGTGGGTCTGGGGGCTATTTTTTGTTTGTATTATCTTCTTCATATGAAATCCAGGGCAGGTCGCTCTACAGGGACAGTCACTGGATTGAGCGCTTCTCGGGGTGACCACACAGCAGGTGGGGGAGAAATGGAGAGTCAAGAATGAATACGCAAATGAAGAAAAGCGTCTACAGTGAGCTGGTGTGGTATGTGAATTCTATGTCAGTGAAACGTTAACATCAAAAGAACGAGTAGCCACAGCCTCCTCAGCAGGCTGACGCAGGGTGGTCGCTGTGAGCTGGACAACACTCCATACGACGGGTCATGCACAGGAGTCGTGGAGAGACAGCAGGGACACGCTCTGCAGCGGCTAACCAGAAGTTCTGCGGTTGGGAACCGGTTGGGAACCACCGCCCGGTCAGAGGAAGACGAGCCAGTCTGCCCCTGTCAGGATGCCAGCCTCGGAGGTTCTGTGCGGCAAGTCTGCCCAGCCCTACAGGGTGGGGAGGAACTGACCTGCTGGATGGCAATGATCTACTTCCAAAGGCCGGGCCAATGAAAACTCTCTGGGTTATCACAGTCCACTGGGGTCGCCATGAGCCTGGCTCACTCAGCTGAGGCTAACAGCAGCTACGGATAAGCATGGGTAAAGTAGAAATCACAAGAGGAATCAGAAAAGGTCTTGAACTGAGGTGACCTCTCCGAATGTGGGGGGTGCGACCAGCGCAGCATTTAGAAAGACAGCCATGGTTAACTGTGTGAAGTTCATTAGTCATCGGTGAGACAGGAAGGTCACTAGTCAATGATCCCTAAGAAATGGTCAGTATCGAAACCAGGAGGGTAGGGGAAAGGGAAGAGGAGGGGAGGAAGGGGGAACCGATCGCAATGATCAACACATAACTACACACACCCCCTCCAGCGGGATCAACAACAGAAACCATGGGGAAAGGGAGACAGCGGTTGGTGTAAGACAAGAAAATAATGATAATTTATCATTTATCAGAGGGCCACGAGGGGAGGAGGGAGAAAGAGGAGCTGATACAAGGGCGCAATAGAAAGTAAATGTCTAGAAAAGAATGATGGCAGCATCTGTACAAATCTGCTTGATACAAGTGATGTAGGGATTGTTATTAGAGCTGTAAGAGCCCCAATAAAAGGATCTTTTAATAAAAAGAAAGAAAGAAATGGTCAAAAGTGGCTGCAAATTAAAGCACCAAAAAAATTTTTTTTAAGACAATGGAAAGAGGGTAAAGAACTGGATGGAGCTGAAAGCAGAAGGGCTAACTATGGGAGGAAGGACAAAACTGAAGAGAGGCAGGCGGCTCCGGCTCAGCCCGAGGCAGAAAGCAATCACACACGAAGGCGTGAGGAGGAGCCACTGTCCGCCCCGCACATGGGCAGACCGGTGCCCAGGAGTTTGGGGCTACAGGAAGAGCCTGGGCCCACATCTGGACATAAGAGGACATCTGGAAGAGTCCGGGGTCGTGGTGGGGCCTGTGCACAGGATGGCGTGATGCAAGCAGCCCGAGTCTGAACGGTAGGCTGGACCCGTGGTACCAGGACAGAGGGCAAAGGGGGAGCCCTGGAGTGCTTCTGAGAAGGGGAGAGGGCTGGTCAAGTTGGGTCTCAAGAAAAAGGCCTCTAACTGAGGGGGTGAACCTGGACAGAAGCGCAGTTGAGGAGAGTCAGACTTGAAGCTGAGACAGCACAGGGAATAAGGGCAGAACATGGTGGTGAGAGGAGGCAGCAGTGGTGCAGGGAATAGGACCCCTGCCTTCCGTGCAGGAGGCCCGAGTTCGATTCCTGACCAGTGCACCTCGTATGCACCAACACCTGTCTGTCAGTGGAGCCTTCGGTGTGGCTCCCTCTGCTGACCTGGGTCCCACAGGGCTTCCCGACTGAGGTGGACTAGGAAAAAAGGCCTGGCCATCTCCATCCAGGCAATCCATCAAGGAAACCCTATGGTCACAAATGCCCGGTCCTCCACTGGTCACGGGCATGGCCCAGGCCTGCAGGGCTTTGTTGTGTTGTGTAGGGGGGTTCTCCATGAGTTAGGGGTCTAACTTGTTGGCAACTAAGCAAGGGAGGGAGGGAAAGAG